TCTACTTTCATGCCACAACTACAGAATCTGGTAGTTGCAACAGAGACCATAAAAAGCCTAAAATATTTACTATCTGACCCTTCACAAAAAAAAAAAGAGCAAAATTTTCACACCAGGAAGAAGTTAAAAAACTAATTAAAAATATAAATGTCTACATATTATACTCTTTCATAATACTTTATTCAACAAATGAATAATTTGGACTTCAGAATAAGAAATAAAATCTTGCAATTCTAAGGACATTTTAATAACTTTCAATAAATTATCATGATCCTATACTTAGAAACAAGAAATCCTCAAGATTTGGGAATCCTATTTTGAATGTTTTCTACAACAAGGGTTTACTATACCTCTGGTTCTGCTAATCCTACCTTCATCTAATCACCCCACCCCACATGCATCACCTGCAACTAAAACCAGCAGGATGTGCTCAGGACAAACTCTCCTGTGTTATTAAAGACACTGTACTATCAAGAGAGGCATTCCTCCTACCATCATTCAAAAAGCAAATAGGTATAAGCTTAAGAAAAAGTGTACAGTTATACAGAGCAGAGGTTAGAAACAAACAGTCTGGGAAATTTATTTACTGAATCTCTAAGTCAAGTCCTCTAGAAGTGGGGAAACACTACCTTTAACTGTTCTCCTAATTCCCTCAAAAAAAAACAAAAAACAAAAACAAAAAAAACTGACCCCTGAGACAACTAGAGGAAAAGTCAAAACACGAGGACTGTAATTTAGACACATTGTCATGTTCAAGTTTAGGATATCAGCCTCAAGACAGGAAGACAAAAAAAGGCCAGATAAAAAGTTATCCTTTCATAGAATCACAGAATTTCAGAACTGAATACCACCTAAAATAAATACTCTTTATGATTTCAATGCTTAGCTCTGAAGGTTTTATTGCTCTATTTCTGGCTACTCAAATAGGACAAAAGAATTATATAGCACAAAGATTCAATTACACTTTATAAAATCCCTGTTGTACTGGAAAATTTGCAGAGAGATAAAAACCTGGAGAACACTTCTTATTTTGTATCTCTTTGTACTAAGCTTTTTTGTGAAAGAATAGTAACTAATCTTCACTACAGAAAGTCTAAAACAATTCTTGAAAAACATGAGATGGGAGGTCATATGGAACAGGATAGATTAGAAGGAAAAAACTCTTTGAATTATCATTTTCAGGCCACTAATAAAATGTTCAATTAGTAACATCTAATGGCGATCTTATAGTACTTGCCTTTTGGTTTGGAGGTCTTCAAAATCACTCTTACAAGCTCAGGGACATCAAAATAAGCAGCATAATGCAAAGCATTCATATTTGTCCAGCGACTCCGCAAACTAGCATCTGCTCCCAGATCAATAAGTTGAGTTGCAAATTTTACAGCTGTATCAACATCACCTAAGGAAGGTTTTCTAAATTATTTTTCTTCAGTACAAATTTAAGTTCCAATGGATGGCTAACCCCTACCTCATTCAAAATGCCAAAGCAAATAGTATATATTGTATATACACTTATATCTCAAAGCTTTCACTTACAAGGAATTTAGTCTAAGAAAATAAGCAAATACCCAGAGATATGGATAAACATTTAGCTGTGAAGATGTTCATCACAGCAGTTTTTATTATGAATAAAATTCTGAAGCAACCTAAAAGTATAACAATAAGAAATTGGTTAAATAAACTTTGAGACATCCATAGAATGGAATACTATACAGCCAGTAAAAACGACACACTGGACCAGTGCCACTCAGAGTAGGCTGCATGGACTACTGCCAGTCCCAAAATATAATCTGTTTGTACTTTTTATAACCCTTTTCTTTTTTCCTATGTAATCATTTCTTAGGAGTATATTAATTGAAATATCATTTTATGCTTTTTGAAAATATTTGGGTTTGTATTTTATATCTTTATTTAATTTTTCTATTATTTCATTTTATAAAAGTATCAGTCCATGATAGCAAAAAAAAAAAAAAAAAGAATCCTTCACCATCAATAGCTTAGGAAGCACTGTATCAGACTATGGAAACACAGGGAGATGGTCACGACAGTTGAATAACAGAGGCAAGTTTACACAATGGGAAAACACCAATTTTGGAAAATATGAGCACATGTTATATGTGTAGGAACAGACCCCAGACAGGCCTGAAGACTGGGGTCTTAGCGGTTGGGTTGCCTAGAAAACCGAGCTTGGATCCGGAAAGGCTGGGAGGTGCCAGGAGGCTACTACAACCACCTTGAGAAAAGGAAGAAAAGGCAACAAGTTTCTGGAAGGACCTAACTGAATCCTCACCTGCTCAGGGAATATTATCATCAGAGCCAGGTGCTCTCCCGGGTTGTACAGGCACCAGTACAGATGTTCTAAGCAATTAATAGATTTACCACATACGTACCAATGCCATGAGCTCCGGACTTGCAAGTATAATGTAGGAGAGTCATATCTGTCAGTCCATCTCTGTCGTTCACATTGCAGCCTCTCTTAAGAATCTGAGGAAACCCAGGGAGAGGTGATGACAACGACGACTGAAGTCGACTGACTTCGAACCAATGCTGGCAACAAGGGAGCCTGCCTTTTCTGGACTAGTTCTCAACACAGGCAGAGACAGGACTGGCTTCTTTTGAGGAAAGATCGTAAGTCTGCACCCAACAAGAATGAAAACTGAACTTGCCAACTGACTGAAGGAAACATGAAGAGTATTACAAGGTAATCCACACTCCAAGTATGTCCCTTCACCTCTCAAAGAGCGAGCAACATTTTATTTCTCGTGGGTATAATGGTGTTTGAAAAAAGTATGAGCTCTCTCTTCCTACAATATGATAATATGCTGGTCAAGGAAACCAGTCATTCTTTCATCCCGCCTTCAAGAAATATTTTTAAATTATATTTGAGCCTAGATCTTTAACAAACTACCCACAAGTATAGATAAAACATGATGGCAATCAAATACCCTCATGAAAGAATTTCTTTAAGTTTACAAAATTAATTTGTACAAGAAAGAAAGTTCCCAAATGCCTGCTCCTGTGAAGAGCCTCCAATGTCAGAATCCCACATGGAAGAGAGTGAGGAGCATGAGGGGACAGTGGAAAGAATTTATAGCACTAACTGTTTAACTATAGTAAAAACCTGGAAATGCAAAGAACGTACATCAGACTCTTTAAAAGGCCTCCCCTTTATCAGCATCTTTCCATTTAGATGGGGAAAGTCTATGTGATTCACAGTCCTAACAACGCAAAGCTTCAGATGTGATAATGTCTTACCTCGTTCCCAATAACGTCAATGTTCTGCTGGACCTGAGGAACCCACTGTCTTAAAATGGCAAATAATTCCGATACAGAAGTTTTGGGATCAAAGAGAATTTCCTGGCATGATGTATCATTCGGATCAAAGAAAGAGAACTCTGAAATAAAAGGTGTAAATTAAATTTATTAGAAGTTGCAAATAAATATATCAAAAATACTAAACAATAAGACCAGAGCTTAAATGATACCAATATTTTTAGATGTTAGAAAATGTAGATTTTTACCTTAAGCAATTCTCAAAAACAAAATCAAAATTGCCAAAAAGTATGAGGC